CCGTTAGTTGTTCTGACTGCGGCATTTATAGGGGGGAAGATCATCCAAAAGCGTTGGCCTATAGATAATTGTGAGAATGTTTTTCCATGGCTAAGTTGATTCGAAGTTATGTTTATGCATTAGGGTTATCACCTAGCGCATACCTAACAGGGTAAAGTCTGCAACGACTCTTAGCAAAGAGCCTAAGTAATCATACGGAATGAGTTGTACGAAACCAACCTGATTTATTTCTGGTTTGATCTTACACAAACTCGCATCCTTTCATGGCTGATTAGAAGTTCGTTTCGTCTGTTCACTTCCACAAGCCTGTAACGGGACTCGGAACCACACTTGTCGCACTTCATTCATCATCAAAATAGAACACCCGACACAATGTGATTTTGATAGTAAACTTTGAATCTCTCAAATGCACGGCATATTCTACATGCTGCCCAGCATCATCCTGGAGCCATCATAGGGGCAGTACCATTGCGATTATTGTACATGACATCACCGATGCTTTTTAGGATCTATTCCACGTATACCGCTGAAAATCTTGATTGCAATCGTTCCGGACCAACTTAGACAAGCAAAGCTCCCACACAAAGGCTTCAATGTCGCCAGTGTAAGGCAACATATTCTCACCTCCAAGTGGTACAAAATATAAGAAGCAAGGCTGGTTACCACCTAGTCCACGCTTTGCTTGAGATCGGAAGCAGATCGAGCGTAAATATAGCGAGAAGAGATCTCCAACAAATTCGAACAGAGGAAATATCAAGCCTTGACACTCCGATGCCGACCGTTTCTTGACAGCATCTGGGAAAGCATGAAGTGGTTTACATCCTCATCAGCCCAGTATGTCAAATGGCTGGCAATGCTTGCAATCAGAGATATATCGAATGCACCCCTATTGAAATGTATTAGCATCCTGGGCGTGGGCTCGTGGAATTCAGACAAGAACGTAAAGATCCTCGATAGCTGGAGGAAAACAGAAATAACTCACTCCTGGATGCTGTAGTCAACTCGTCCATTAGTATTGAGTGCCCTCATTTTAGCATCTTCCATCTTCAACCTCCTTAGATCCTCGCTCTCTCGGCCGACGGCGGATTCAGTGGCCGCGGAATGTAAAATGTCATTGTGTTGACTAGCCTTAGTTCTGTTGGTCCCTTCGTAGAGTGTTTCTAAGTTCGAGTCAATCAGTGTACGGTATCTATCGCCATACCCTTCTTGACTATCAACGCCAGAGCCAGGGCGAGAAGAACCATCCTCTCTAAGAGAAGAGTTAGCCAGTGATCCTCGAGACATTTGAGTCTCGGTAGCAATCACTGTGGGTTGTGGTGTAGTTTCCTCCGAGCCAAGGCCGAGGCTGCGGTTAAGCAGACTGCTTGCGACCCCAGTTGCGAAATTGGTCCATAAGGTTCCCACACTCTGGCCAACACGACTGCCAATCATGGAAAGGCTTTGCCCAGGAGCTGCCCATAGGCTTTTCTTTACCGATGGCAAGGGCTGCGGTTTGAGCGACGACATTGCCGGCGAGATTAGCGGCTCCATTCGATAACTAACGGGATCAGAAGGGTGAAATATGTTGTACAGTTGCCGACACTTCGGTGATGACACGATAGTCGGCCCTTCACCCGACGCCGTGCTCGCCTGAACTGGCGCGCCACGGGCCGCGAAGGGAGAAGACGTTGGGCTCCGATGATCACACTCCTTCTTCGAGCTCTTGGTGTTTGCCCCGTCGATCATAGATCGCCCAGTAATGGTGTTTCCTTTGATCATCTGGAAGAGGGCAATTGGAGACCCCAAGCAGAATAATTCTTCGCAGTCAAAGTCGAGCAAAATGTCCAGAGACTCGTCTCGGTCCATCCTCCTCTCTCCGGACGTGGGACTCTGTTCGAGACAAGGGGTCGACGGTTGGTGGCATAGGATATCGAACAGGATCGCGCTACCAAGTGAATGACCACAGAGGCTCACAGAGCCCTTGAATGTCGGATTTCGCTGCTTGAAGAGTTTCAGAATTCGATTGCACTCCTGCTTAACTATAGTAGAAATGTGTTCACAATAAGCACTTTGATAGAGAAGTACGTCCATTGCCAAATCAGAAATGAGATTCCGGACTGCGGGGACGCTGTCAAGGGTAATATCATTCAATCCGGGATAGGAACTGTCGTCATGAGAGTCCGCATCGGCCAAATCAAGTTCTTTGCGATTCTGCCTCACTCCTCTGTAGGGAAAATCAAGGAGGTGTCTCCAACAGCTAAATCTAATTAGTACGAAAGCTCTTTCGAGTGAATTCAGGACAGTATGATAGTCATAATCCGCAGTTGAGCACTTGACAGCTGCCGAGGGTGGGTTGACTCACACTGGAAGTACCTGAACGCGGCAGTTTTTTTGACTGTCTGAGAAAGCAGAGTTCAAGGCTTGCAGATCAGGGGAAGCCTTATAGACGCTCTTCATGGTCTTTCGAAGAACATTCACATCATGAATGAAGTTGATGCTTTCTAGCCGTAACCCAAGTCGTTGGCCTATCCCATGTGTGACAAGGACCAAATGGTCAATCTGCCGCTCTCTGTCCTCTTCATCTGCTTCCCTGGAGTCTTCCATTTCTTTCTCTTCCTGCTTCCGCGCTTGCTCCTCAAGCTCAGCTGTATTCTGAGGTTCACCGGCAAGGGACGACATCTGCCGTTCCAGAGTGGACCTCGGATCGTCCTGGTTGGTCACTTTCTTTCTCACATCCTCATTAGAGCGCGTGTCTGAAGAAATCTCCGAATCGGTCTTGACCTCGTGGTCTGACGAGGCTGCAGTAGGGGTATCGGAGGAAGATTTTGTACCAACGCTATGATCACGACTCTTCACAGCCGACGTTTCCTTCTGTCTTCTAGTTTCGATAAAACCACGCACGACTTTTGTACCTGGTATACCGCCCAATTTCTGGTACACCGTACTGCTCATTCGTGACATGAAATCGTCATTCGCCAACAAAGCTGTAGAAGAATCCTGATATGTCACTATGCAGTTCATGTAAGCACCAAAAAGACGATAGTGTCGAGGCTCGTTCACTCGGACAGAAGTTGCATGTCCAGCCTGATCAGTAAGTGGCCGCGAAGCACGTAGCTCTGGTTCGGGTGTGCATTGCGATCCAGACTTGGTCACATCTGATCTATCTTCATTCTGGGGGTTTGGGTTTGCAACGGTCTGCGGGAGTCTGCTTTGGTCATTTTCCAGGCGCCATGGTTTCAGTTTGAGAAATCCTTCCTCAAGCTGGGTGGCCAGGTTTTCTTCGCACGGCTTGAAAGTATACCCTTCTTGGAAGAACCACGTACCCCGGCGCACTTCATAGGTGGGACCTATCCAGTACGCCGGTGCAAGCTCCCTTCGCTCGATGTCCACGTCAAATAGGTTGTCCTCATTGACAGGCACTGTAAACAAATCTTTCCTTGTTTCGCGGAGCAATTCACTTTTTCGAGTTTGTTCTTGAGCAATCTCAACGTCCGAGAGCTTTTGGAAAGTGGACTCAATGGCCTGGGAATCTTTCGACGAAAACGGGACAAACTTCTTGGGCGCAGGTAGGGGTTTCGATTCTTCCTTCTGGTGTTCTGAGAGTAGTGGTTTCCGTTTTGGTGAGTCAACAGCGTAAAACCACTTCACCCTCAGCGGGGGACAACCCGGGGGGTAGTGGCGCAAGCTAAGCCTATGCCTGTGTGTGATTGTATGATCTTCGCCTTGAGATCTAGGGAGAACGTCTGGTCCATCGGTGTTGAGGGGAGTCTTGGTGTTTCTTGGTGCATTCCAGGAAGAGATGGCTCCCAGAAAGGACCCCCTCTGACTTTCCCTGGACATGGAGCCCTGGAGAGCCCAAAAGATGGATGTGCGGGCCAAGGCGATCGTAATGCTACTCGAATCCTTAGTTTGGATGAGAGAATAGAGACGCAGAATGAGATGCCACTAGATGCCCCCGTATCGATGATTAAGAGCGTTAGGGGTCTAGGTATTGGTATGGGAGCTTCTCCGGCAAGCCAAATGGGGCAATATAATTACAATGGCTGCAACGGAAAAAGCGCAGTCACTAAGGTAGGTTATCTTTTTATGTAAGGGACAAACACATGGAGCCTAGCAATGTCTGAAGTGCCAAGATGGCGCCCTCCTGATGGTGTGCGTCTATAAATCATCGGACCCTCTCAGAAAAGAAATAGATATCCAATGTAGAGAAGTACTAAGTCTGAATCACCTAGATGTGTATCTAAATGGAAGGCCCGCATGTGGGGTAGGATATTAGCAGAGCTTCCATAGCACACCTGAAAATAATTATAATACATATTATCTGTAAGGAAGGTAAGGTACCTTAACCAGGGCACTGTATTAATAGGCGCCCCCCCCTCCTCTAGTATATATGATTACAACTATATGGCCTCTGTACATAGTAGCAGATGCCCACTTCATGCGTCATTGTTTGACTGGTCATGTGATGACGTTGCTAGTATGAAATAGTCATTAGCAATAAATAAAAATGCATGATAAGTTTCAAGCAAGAGTATCAAACCTTGAAGTGAATCCTAACTTCTTGTTCTATCTCCTAGTAATTACTCACCAGTCAATCACTCAGCAGTATCAACTTCCAATATAATTTGAAGCACATCAACATCGTTGTTGTTGCCTGAAGTAATCCATAAATGTTTCCATAAGCCACAACCCCACCCCGCTTTCTCACCTCCCGCTGCCAGTTCCAGGGGTATCCAGAGATTAGGTAGCTTTACTCATCGTCACTCGTCTACAGGCTGCCTGAAACCACGCAACGCTCAGCTCGACCGCCCGATTTTTGCGATACTCTCGCGGCTGGGGGAGAAAACTTCATCCGTGCTACTCTCTCGTCCTGATCGCATTCTTCCACTTTATACGAGACGTAACTCTCGTTCTCATTCCGTTGCCGTCTCACATCCTTCTTGCACTCATCTCGGGGCCAGATCTATTCTGGTCTTCTTAAGGCTCCATCCACAGGACGAGCATATCGGCTCATCGAGAAGATGAACGTTCTTAAGCTTCAGAGGTTCGTACTTAATACTTTTTGTTTATCATGTGCCTTGCAGATCTTCTCAACAGAATACCTTCACAGCGTCTTATTTAAGGCTTTCTCACATGGGTCACCTCTAGGAAATATCCACACTTCGACCAGAGTGAAATTTTCTCCCTTCAGGATGCATTCAGAAAATTGGATGTTGACGATAAGGGTTATCTGGACGAGGCTACTGTTATCAAGGCCACCCAGCAGTCCGAACGTCAGCCGTACGACGTCGTGCGCCAGGCTTTGAAGGAAGTCGATCTCGATAGCTCTCGTCGAGTCGAGCTCGAAGATTATGTAGATGTACGTGTTTGTATCTTCACCGCTACCGGGACCATGAGGAGCTAAAAAGTATTCCACAGCTCATTTCAAGACTTCGCTCTACTTCAGCTCAAAATAGAGCAACTGCTGGCCCAAGTGCGGCTCCAGGAATACCCGAGATTGGGACGGGCGTGTCTCGACACGTCTCCAAAGGCAGTGTAGGAGGACGAATTCACGTTCAGGGCTCTTCCGCGAACGTCACTCATACTATCAATGAAGATGAGAGAACTGAGTTCACCAGACACATCAATGCTGTCCTTGCTGGAGATCCCGACATTGGCCATCTACTACCATTCCCCACTGACACTTTTGAGATGTTTGATAAATGCAAGGACGGATTGGTCCTAGCAAAACTTATCAACGACAGCGTCCCAGATACCATTGATGAGCGTGTCCTGAATAAGCCTGGGAGAAAGATCAAGGAACTAAATGCATTCCATATGACTGAAAATAATAACATTGTGATCAATTCGGCCAAGGGAATCGGCTGCTCTGTTGTTAACATCGGAAGCGGCGACATCATAGAGGTCCGCGAGCACCTGATCTTGGGTTTGATTTGGCAAATTATCCGGCGAGGCCTTTTGGGCAAGATCGACATCAAGCTTCATCCCGAACTCTATCGGCTTCTGGAGGACGACGAAACGCTAGACCAGTTCTTGCGCCTCCCTCCAGAGCAAATCTTGTTGCGTTGGTTCAACTATCATCTGAAGAATGCAAAGTGGGACAAGAAGTAAGTTGGGCCGCTTGCAATATAGCAATTTCCTGTGAAATACTGCAGCTCGCTTACCTGTTGCAGGGTGACGAATTTCTCCTCCGATGTCAAAAACGGTGAAAATTACGCTGTCCTCTTGAATCAGTTGGCTCCTAATCTGTGTTCGAGAGCTCCGCTTGAGACTCGGGATTTGCTTGAGCGAGCAGAGCAAGTTCTGGCAAATGCAGAAAAATTAAACTGCCGGAAATTCCTCACTCCTTCGTCTCTTGTTGCTGGGAACCCCAAACTTAACCTTGCATTTGTTGCCAATCTGTTCAACACGATCCCTGGTCTCGACCCAATAACTGAGGAGGAAAAACTCGAGGTTGAGGATTTTGACGCAGAAGGAGAAAGAGAAGCTAGAGTGTTCACCTTGTGGTTGAATTCGCTCGATGTCCAGCCCCCCGTCAACTCGTTGTTCGATGATCTTCGAGATGGTACCATTCTACTTCAAGCCTACGACAAAGTGATCCCTGGCAGTGTCAACTGGAGACATGTTAACAAACAACCTAGTTCTGGTGGCGAGATGATGCGATTCAAGGCTGTGGAAAACACAAACTATGCAATCGAACTTGGAAAGCACATAGGGTTCTCCCTTGTAGGAGTACAGGGTGCGGACATTACCGACGGACAACGTACACTTACGCTGGGACTAGTTTGGCAACTGATGCGGAGAGACATTACAAACACCTTGTCTAGCCTCGCGCAGCGAATGGGCAAGCGTGAGATCACCGATGCCGAAATGATCCGGTGGGCAAACGACATGTCCCGTAAAGGAGGCAGAACTTCGTCAATACGCAGTTTTAAGGATCAAACCATTGGCACGGGCCTTTTCCTTCTTGATGTTCTGAACGGAATGAAGAGTAGCTATGTTGACTACGACCTCGTCACGCCTGGCCGATCAGAGGAGGAAGCGTACGCTAATGCCAAGTTGAGCATTAGCATAGCGAGAAAGCTAGGCGCGACTATTTGGTTGGTTCCTGAGGATATTTGTCAAGTGCGGTCTCGCTTGGTCACTACATTTATTGGTAAGTCGGTTTCTTCTCCCCACAGATCATGCCTACTAACTCATCCAAATAGGTTCTTTGATGGCCACATATGAGAAGATGCAGTGATCAGCTTGGTACAATTTTGTTGCAGTTGAAACATAGCTGGAACATGTCCTATCCCTGGTTCGCTAGAAATTCAAATATTCCAGGCCATCTTTATCATGTACTTCATAATGTAACTGTTTTGAGATGCATTTGTTACCTCAGCTCTAAATTCTATATGGATTATGATATTAGATGCAAATAAGCTCTTCAAGCCATGTCATGTAGTGATTGTTCTTTTATAATAGTTGTCTAATCTACGAGCAACCTAAGGAATATTAATATCTTAAGGGTCTGCATTGTGAATATGAATCTTGCTAGTGGACAGGAGACTTATTTAATAATATAGACTAGAGTTACTTTAAGCATTACTAAGGTAAATATAATAGCTAAATAATGGATATTCATAAGTAACTTATTATCAATAAAATACTAATATTAAGGTTTCATAAAGAGCTTGGAACTAACTACCCAGTGATTATTCATGCCTGGTGAGAAAGTAATAGGGTAATTAAGTAATATACAAAAGAATTGGTCTCCTGGGTAAACCACCCATCAAGGGAGGGCATTGGAAGATATTAGTAGAGGGAGAGGGCTATAGCCAAGACATACCACCCAATCTTACTGATGAACTTCTTTCTCCTAACAACCCTCCCCTGATGTAAATGGCAAGACTAAGCATCATGTATTCTATATGAACCCTGAGTATTCTAATTCCCATACTAAATAGCAACATGGGATACCTGTGCAATAGGCATTTAAAGTGTTAGATTTCCACCAGCATCTAACTACATAGCTAATTAGACTGTACTATCACGGATTCAACTACTTCTCTATGAGCTGTGCTTACTCTGCTACTAACTGTACCTATAACTATAGTCCCTTTGTGATGCTCCCTACTCGGATAATCTGTGTGATTCCTAATGCAACAAAGTACATGGAGTAGAAAGAGCGATTTCTTATAAGATAAGCAATTTCCTAGCCCATAAAGATATGAAGCTACTACATCATGTAATGCCTACCATCATGCCCTAGGCCCTAGAGTTTAACTCTTGTGTAGTTAAGGCAGTCACAGGCTTCTCCTGCAAATATTCAAAGCAGGGGGGTGCATCTGTAAAGTAGAGAGGTGTGTCACTAAGATAGGGGGGTTCGTCTCATTGCGAACCCCAGGAGATATCTGGCTCCACTCGAAAAGTTATAATGCGTACGGTGGTAGGGGGTTCAACCATTCTGACGGGGAAATGGACCCTGCCAAATCAGCCTTGAACTTTCAGGAGCTGAGATTCATGTATCGGATCGCGAATGATTAGGAACAATGACAAGAACAAGCAGGAACTAAGCGCATTGACCGATGATCGAGTCATGTCCGTGTTGACGAACCTCAAGCCTCACTCTCATATCTTTGTGAAAGAGGGAGGAACTGGGAGTACATGGCGCCTTCGGCATGAGCCCGAGATGTCAGTTCTCATGCTACGGACACTAAGAACGACCCGTATGGAGCAATGTGGATGATCAAACATCCATTTTAAGATACACTGTTCCCATACAGGAGTTGATACTTACGGCTACTTCTACTGGACTATGACATCATGAGTCGGTAGCCGAAACGACAGATCGACGGAAAGGATCTCGCGAAGCTTAGCCGTTCGTGATGGACGGTGAAAGGATATGGACGGTGAAAGGATATGGACGGTGAAAGGATGGCAATCGTTCTCTTATTAGAATGCGATCAAGACGGACGATGAACGCGGATATCGGGGACACACGTAGGGACGACTAAATTGGCGCAAGTAGAATTAACGATCGCTCGACGTCCGGTCGGAAATGATTCGAGCTGCTGACCACAATAAATACCAATGGATGAACCAGCGAAGACAAGCCATGATCTGAAATAGGAGGTGAGGCAAAGGAAAGTGATAAAAATCAGAGATGAGGATGGGGAAGAGCAGAGAGCACACAGAGAGCAAAGCAACCATGAACGGCCAGCTGTCCATTTCTTGCCTTTCCCTCACATCGTCTGGTTGTTTTTGCTTCCAAAAATCTCCACATAGTTCTTCCCTTCTGATTCTCTGTTGTTCACGAATTGGGGAACGAGCAAAAAAAAGAGAAGAAAAAAGGGAAAGAAAGGAAAGGAGAGAGAACAAAGGTATAAAGAGGCAAGAGCAAAGACATGCGAAAGTAAAGAGAACGTAGGAAAAGAAAGTTACCCAGAGAACCGGTGTCTATTACCATTCCCGGATCGGAAATCCGATTCAAACTAGTGTCGCCACGCCCTCGATAACGGCATCTCGAACGAAACATTAATGCTGTCGCGGTTCTTCCTTGTCTCTAATCCGTGATCGCAAGCTGTCCAATAGCTATGCCATGAGCGCCGAGGGGTTCAACCTACTCGGCAGTATCTAGCTCGTCATGAGCCGAAGTCAGAGGATCCAGGGGTGCTGCCAGAGTTAGCTGCAGAACTCATCTTTGTCAACTGATGGATTGAGAGCAATGTACCTTTCCTGTCTTCACCGTTCGGGCCATTCTCACGATCTTCTTCACGGCGCTCTCTCTCATCGTCGCGACGTTCTCTGTCTTCCTTGACATCACGGTCCCTTTCATCAGGGCTTCGCGAACGGTCACGAGAGCGTTCTCGGTCCTTATCGCGACGGTCATAGTCTCGATCACGGCGGTCATAGTCTCGGTCGCGACGGTCATAGTCCCGGTCATGTCGGTCATAGTCTCTCTCATATCTTTCATCTCTGCGAGGGGAATAATCACCTCGACTACGACGAGGAGATGGAGAGCGACCTCGGCGAGGGGGAGTACGGTCACGGCGTCGGTCACGACCGGATTCAAAGCGCCAGGAGGCAGACGGAGGAGTACGGGCCCACTAAGGAGAAATTAGTCTGAAGGAACAAAGGCAGAAATCGAGGAAACGTACCTCTATCTTGAGCAGATCATCGCGGCCAATCCGCTTATTATGCATCTCGTGATATGCATCGTCTGCATCACGGCGGCTCTCGTACTCGACGAAAGCAAAACTAACCTCATCAGAACCATGAATAAGTATGAAAATCGAGGATAACGTACAGTCTGCTAGACGGAGTACGCGGTGCTGGGATATCGCACCGAACGAGGCGTCCATATCTGTAAAAGTATTAGCTCCGGATACATCATGGAATAACAAACAAGGAAGATTGGGGGCAGGTGAAAGAGCACGAAGCGGAGTGTTTGTCTAGTCAGCGGGGAGTTTGAAGGGGGAAAAGTAGCAATGACGAATCGTAAATGAGGAAAAGCCGCTTTTTCTACTCTCAAGATGTAGAAGCCTGAGTCTCAAAGGCGTCGAACTTCACTGAATGAAGCGCGAAGGTGGGTACGGAAATCGCAAGTTTCTCAGAGTGTGTAGCAATCGACGAGCGACACATACCGTTCGAATTCGTATGCGAGATCGCGAGCCCGAGTTCCGTGCCCGAAACCAGTGACATAAAGGGTGGTGCCTGAGCGAGACATTTTTTGATAATGTTGAATGAAGATATTTTTATAGAGCTCCAGTTGCTCAAGTCCGAGCTAGCTAGATTCACGTTGGGAAAATTCGTGGAAAAACAGGCTGTCCAACGAGGAATGCAAGAAAGTGGTGGTGGTTGAAAGTTGTAGTGAAGGAAGTACAAGATGAAAAAGGAACTACGGCGAGGTGGATGTGCCACAAGCGAACACGCCGTACCTCTGCTCTGGACTAAGGTACTTTTGGACTACACTCACAGAGGGCCTAATATCTCAATTTGAAAGGCACAATCCGATCTCCTCATATTTAGAAGTATTCAAGTATATACGTTGGTCCGGACTATATACTCTGATCATGCAACAACTTTGCGACTCTTGAACTTCAGGCGACGGCTATTTAACCCAGAACAAGTATCTGACAAGCCGTACCTACGAAGTAGACTACAGGTACAATGGCCAATTGGCGATGGCGATAGTAATCCTTGGACCGCCACTTATCTAGGTCTGGCTGGCACCATCTGAACGGATATCAATAGTGATCGACAGTTGTCCCAGGTCTCCGTGGTCGTAGATCGAGTCCGATACTTCGCGAGAGGGCTGGAATACGGAGTAGCTCTCGTAGAAGTCGTTGGAATGTCTTGTTTATCCTATGATGTAAATTTCCGGGAGGTTTGTAGCCTTAGGCCACCATTACAGAAATTACCCAGAGGAGTTGTTTTGATAATAATAGGTCGACATAGCATGCACCCTATGTAAGGAGAGGTAAGCCTAAAGATAATCAAGATATCTTTCTTTTCGCGTGGGTTCTATTATATCTAGCAGTTGTGCATGGGGTATTCAAAGGATCTGAGCCTTTTTGCGGTCTGTATCAACAAGGCAACGGAGAAAACATCTATCTCACTAGTGGGAAAGAGGGCATGTGTTTTCATTGATTCAACCTTAATATCGGCGCCTACTAATGCATCATTACAATCCACATTGGCTTCATTGGGAGTTGAAGTTTTATAATTCATTCTTCCCTCGCGGCAGTCATCTAGTTTGCGTCCTTCTCCGCGGCATTCATGCTGCTTTAGCTAAATGAAAAGCTTGAGGAGACTTGATCAACCTGCAGTTAAAAGATTTGGGGATCTTAGCAGCATCTGACTATAATTGCACCTGCGCCCTTTGCGACTTTTTGGGCTTCATTCTCCGCCATTTCCTGACATAAACATTTTTCGGTGTTTGTCGTCCACTTTAAACGTCGATCGTTCATTTCAAAAGATAAACCCTCTATTTATAGAGTGCGCCAGGGCTGGGACACGCAGCGCGTAAAAGTCGAGACACTTCGCTTTTACCGCGAGCCATCTGTGGCTACGAACTTGAAAACTGAGCTACCGTGATAAAATGAGCTTAGATCGCGATCAACACAGACGAGATGCTGGCGTCGAAGCGTCTGGGGAAACCGAGTCGTCCGAGCTCTGTCAATTGTCACCCTCAGGTCCCGTCAATGTGCGTTAAAGCGCTGCTATAGCTCCCATACCGCGACTGTCCACCACTAACAT